CCTGCTGTAAGTGAACGGTAAGGGTAGGTACCCATTTCATGTTAACGTTTACTCTTTAAGGGTTCGTAGTCCCCCTAGAGTTTGTATTAGACTGCGGAATCAAAGTTCGCCTGTATTAAGGTGATATTTCCCTCATTTCTGAGGGTGGTGCGCGTGATTGAGGAAGCGACTCAGACTGACCAGTGTCTGAGCCGTAGTTCCGAGTAGGACAGGTGACAGACCCCCACTCAAGGGTCTATAAGAATAAGTAGTGGCTGCATAGTTGTATATTCAAAGTTCTCTGTATTGTATTTGGTTGTCTTATAAAGAGAAGTGTGTTCTGGGGTTTTGGCTTCAGTCATAGTGGTGAACTCAGAGAGTGAGTCACACGCAAAGCACACAGACTTCCTACAAACTATCTACCAACGGTCGAGACCAAGAGTACCTGAACATTGGGTTCAACCCACAGGGATTATACACAAGGGCCACACGCCAAACTCTGAGTTCCCAAAAGGTTCTCGGAGTTCTGACCATATGTGCATCCGAGTCTCCTAAGAGTCTCGGGACCAGAGCGAGCACTGTACGCCTAGGGGTGAAAGTTTCACCGACTTCACCACACAGGCCTCGTTCCAGACTTTGCAAGCCCGTTCCAGAAGATTAACGATTACCAAGGATACTACCAAGCTACCAAGACACTAGAACAGCAAGCCTAGATGTCCTACGACTACGTGCAGTGTGTGAGACCGAGAATCATGTGAATAAGAGGATCAGTTTCAGAGCAGAAGAGACGACCCAAAGCCGTGGAGGTCCAGGCTGAATACAGCGAAGTGCACACACCCTATACTAAGACCAAATGAACGCCCCCAAAGGTATACAGAACACAAGATATTACCAGAATGATTTAGAAAGAACATAGCCGAAGTATAAGAATAATAAACAGAGTTAGTTTTACCAAGTTGAGCGCAAGTCGAATTCGTTCGGGGACCGGCTAGCGAAGGTGCGTGCTGAAGGACACAGCGTACTTCCTCCCAAGCATCAAGTCCAAATTGCCTGTGGGGATCGAGCGCGACGGCGTTTCAGAGTTGATCCAAGGCATACCATTTCCCAGTTGGGCGAACTGAGGGAAGGTGAGCGTGGGGATACCATTTCATGTTAACGATTCTGCTTGGAGGGTTTAGTAGTCCCCTACAAGTTTATAAGTAGACTGCATTTCAGAGTTTTGATAGTATTGTATCCCTCCTAGAGGTAATGCACGTGAAGCAAGGAGTGCGCTTCAGACCGACCAGTGTCTAAAGCGTATACTCAGTTGGCTGGTGATAGACCCACCGTTCAAGGGTCTTAAAGAATAAGTAACGGCTGTATATTTGCATATATTACTCTGTATTTTGGCTATCTTACAACGAAGTGTGCTCTGGGGCTTTGTTCCTTGTCTAATAAGGGTGCGTTTCAGACATTATACGCCCAACCTGACACGCTCAGTGCCTACATTAACCACCAACCCGGCAGGTTGTCAGGCTGCCACCAAGACAGAACCCAAAGCGATTCACAAGGGCCCCACACCGACCCTGGAACGTTCGCGTCCTAGCGTTTCTGACCCAGTGCCAGAGCGTTCATCAACCCTCTGGACCCCCTGGGCTACGCACTATACACTTGCGGCGGAAAAGGTTCACCGACCGTCACATTTGTCCGCCCTGGAACGCGAGGTTTTCGTGAATGACAGACCCTGATCCTGGCGTACGCCCAGTCAGAACAAGATAGCCTCAGAACTGAACGAAGAGAACAGGCGCTACGAGAACGAGAGCCTCCGTGCCGAAGATGGAGCATCAATGGCCAACCAGGATTATGCTGATGCACCAATCAGCACCTGCAGAAGTCAGGATGGCCCAACTACAAGAACCTCGAAAATTCAGGATGCGGAATCGTGGAGAGTTGGCGGATATGGGTAAGCAGCCGGAAGAAGACGCCCTGGTGACAACCGGAGTGGACGTAGCTATACAGGTTAGCGGGATTCGGTCAGACAAATGTGAATGTGATCCTGGTGAAGGAAGCACTCAGGGCGATGATCGAGGCGATGCCCTTTTGGAGGCACGTCCAGAATTGACTATCGAACTCGAAGACCACCAGGATAGCGAAATGCCGTTGGAAGTACTCCCTGAATCTGAAAATTCGGGATACCACCCAGAAAAGGCATCATGCACACCACTCGAAAAGTTGGAAATGGAGTACGAACGCTGTATGTGGGTTAGTGCTGAATAGTTGGATTTGGAACCAGGCGTGTATACTCATGAAGGAAGCGAGATGTTGGTACAATTGCGGGATCAGTTGAGCATGTTGCCAGAATTGAGTGAATTGCATCCAAAATGTGACATCGATCAGGCCGATGTGGGAGTCCCAGGCGAAACCTCCCCCGAAGATGAGTCCAGGATGCGTGTACTCCTGAAGCACCATCGGAAGATCTTCCTGGGAGACGGAAATGCTGCACCAGCTCCCGCCAGAGGAGTGCCATGCGACCTCGATGGGGAAATGTCAAACCCATCGCGTTACGCCCAAGATCGATTGGTCCGCACGTAGCAGTCAAGGTGTATAAACTCCTCAAGAATTGCTCGAGAACAATCGAATTGAACATTCAGAATCGCAATGAGCATCTCCAATCGTGATCGTACTCTAGAAAAATGGGGTGGACATCAGGATGTTTATTTACTATCGACTTATGAATACATCCAGCTGTCCAGCTACCCTCTGCCTCTCATCGAGGACTTATTGGTCGGTTTCGAGGAAGCACTCTGGTTCGTGAGCCTACGTAAGACCAGTGGTTTCTGGGCAATCAAGATGACTGAGAGGGCCAAGTTGATTTCTGCTTTTGTATGTCCGTTTGGACACTTCCAGTGGATTCGAATGACGTTTCGCCTGAAAAATGCACCTCTGATTTACCAGCAAGTAATTAACAATTGCCTGTGGGGATTCGTGCGTCTGCCGCCAGAAGAGGAGGCCAAAGTGGACCAGGAAGTTTTGGACTATCTGAATTTGGACCCCCAGGATGGTGGACCTCCGGGATGTGGCACTCCAGGATGTAGTGGTTGTGAAGATGATCGTACCCCTCGACTATTGCCGATCCTGGCGGACCAAATGACTGTGTTCAAAAGGGATATCCCTACTCCGACGCAGATGTCGCCTGTCCTGGGACGCAGCTCGTATATTGACGATATCGCGCACGATGCGTCGACTTGGGACGCATTGTGTTCTGACTTAGACGCCATGCTGTACAGACCGCGGTATTGAAATATCTCGGTGAGTTTGCCGAAGAGGGAGTTTGGGAAGTTTTCCATTCCGTATTTGTCTCATGATATTAGCGCTGACGGAATCAGGGAAACACCGCAGATCGCTAAGGGCGTTCAGAATTTACCGTTCCCAACGACAATAAAGGGAGTACACTTCTTCTTGGGCAGCCTGAATTACTATCAAAACTTCATCGAGGACCACCCCGTGATCGCAGCCTCCAGATCGCTAAGGGCGTTCAGAATTTACCGTTCCCAACGACAATAAAGGGGGTACACTTCTTCTTGGGCAGCCTGAATTACTACCAAAACTTCATCGAGGACCACCCCGTGATCGCAGCCTCCATGTACGAACTCTGAGATGACCAAGTGCATTCATGGCGAGATTTGTTCAGGGCAAAACAAGCGTTTGAAATCCTGAATGATAAGATCGTGTCGACCCCGGTATTGCTACATCCTGACAGGACCAAATCGTTCGTTATCATACCTCATGCAAACCATTGGGCTGCTTGTGCAGTCCTGGGCAGGAACATGATGGTTTGATCCAGCCAGTACGATTCACGGGACGTGTTCTCCACGATGCAGAATTAATATATCATGTCGCGGAAAAGGAGGCCATCGCCGTGTTAAGAGTGTAGCAGGTTTTCAAAACGCTCATTCAGGGATGCCCTCTCATCGTGTATACCAGACACTCAGTACTGAAGTGGATAATGAATTCCAAGACCGCAAGCGGGTGGTGTGTACCCTGGGGCGTTTTGCTTTCGCAATGGATCTGGGCATCAGGAAAATCCAATGAGACGAGGACGGGCTAGCCGCCATCGTGGGTGCCGGCATTACGCCTCGAGCGCATCTAGATGAGGTCGTCGAGGAACCCATCCCAAAAGGGGTCGCGCGAAACCTCCCCCAGTAATTAGCGTTGAAATGTTGGAAGATACCTTTAGAGGCATCGTGTTGAGTTTTGATGGTGCCGCCATAACGTCTGCTCGGCAGGGTAGCTGTGGATGCATTTTGTGGGAACTTCCTGGATGGAAAATCCTGGATTCACAGGGTTTCATCCTGGAGGACGTCACTGAAAACGACGCCGAGTACTGTGAGTTATTGAATGGTCTAACCATGGCGCGGGCCAGGGGCGCCCGAGACCTGATCGCGGTTGGTGATTCGCGAATTGTCATCCAACAAGTACAAGGACTAATCAACTGCAATCAGCCCAATTTGCAGAGGCGATTGGCTAGTTGTGAAGCACTGAAAACGAAGTTGATTCGGTAAGATTAGTACTCGTCAAGCGAGAATTCAACCAGGCGGCGGACTATCTGACTTCCAAGACATTGTTGCTAGGAAGATCCTGGAGTGTCCAAGAAGACGGAGAATACCAACATCTGAAACGAATATCCAAGATTCTGGAGAAGTTGATGAAGTCAATAGAGACTTGCCCAGCCGCTAGGCATTCAGGGTTGGTGGCCATCCAGGATGAAGAAAGCTGTTCGGATGCTCCTGGATGCCTCGCCGCCCTGGATGCCATGACAGCTGCGTTGTCATATGCGGCCAAAATCCTGGTTGCCGTGACACGAGCTCCCGTCCGAGGCAGGCAGGTGTCGTCAGGACCCCTCGACCCTCTAGAATATCAACGGGAGAGATGGCGGTGGATCAAGGTGCACCAGGAACAAGATAAATATCTATGCGACCTAAGAGATTTCCTGAACGGAGAAGTTGATCGTTTCGCAACTCGCCAATTACGGAAGATCACCAAGGTCGCAGACTTGTTCGCCCGGAATGCCCGAGGTGAGCTGTATCGGCTAGCCCAGTCCACCCGCGGCAGACCTCAAGATGGCCAGGATGAATTGCGCCTGGTGTTACCATCTACCCTGAGAGAAGACATCCTGCACTATGCTCATGAAGAATTTCAGGGCGGGCACCAGGGCATCAAACGAACCCACGAAAAATTGCGTTGTGTATTCTACTGGCCCAGGATGTACGCAGACGTGGAGCGCCATGTCAAGGAGTGTGTCGACTGCGCAAGTGTTAAGGGACATCCGCCTGACCCTGACCTATCTCCCGGAAATATCGAACCAAGATGACCATTTGAAGTAGTCTCGATGGATTTCGTGACGCACATGCCGAAGTCAGAGCAAAGAAATACTTTCCTACTCTTGTACCAGGACATATTTTCAGGGTTCGTGATGTGCAAACCGATGTCCTCCACCACATCTCAGGACGTAGCAGAAGCGTACGCGGGGCGGGTGTTCAGAATGTTTGGTGCTTCAGAATTGATCCGCCACGATCAAGGCCCGAGGTGCATGAGCGAGGTCTTCACTCGATTCAGGGAACTTCTAGGTCGTTGTCAAAGATCCACTCTACGTTACCGACCCAGGCCAATGGGCAACAAGAACGCTCAGTCCAGACTGTCATTCCGAGTGTGCGGGCGTATGTCGCCGAGGCAGATCAGTCAGATTGGGATGGCCACGCCGAGCGGCTGATGTTGGCCCAGAACACGTCTTTTGATGCGTCTCGCCTAGATACATCATTCTATCTAGTCCATGGTTGGGACGCTCAGGGCACTGTATCTTCCGTGTTGGGACCCAAGCCGTCCAGCCCTTCAGAACGGACTGCGTATGAATGGAGGAGAAAATCCCAGTGCGACTGTAGTTTGCCCAAAGCTTGTGCTAAGAACCTTCAGACGAGAGCGAAACGCATGAGATCAGAAACCAGGCCGAGAAGTGGAGAGAGCTCTCAGAGCGTTTGAAATTTGGATTCGAAAGGGGCGACGCAGTTTGGTTGCATATACTCAAGATGCAACCAGGATTGAGTCGTAAGCTGGCACACTTGTGGCATGGTCCTTTCAGAATTGACGATGTACATGATGATTTCAGGGTAAAGTTGAAGATTGATGGGACCGGATATCGTGTGAATCCATGGGTACGTGTAAGACGCCTGAAGCCTCGGGCGCTGTTCCCGAGGACACCCATCGACAAGGTTACCCTGGATGAAAGTGACGACCTGGATGCGGAATTGTTGCCTGAAGATAGTTGGGAAGCGGACAATGAAGTGGAACGAATCCTGGATCTCCGATGGACTAAACGTACCCGTACATCCAGAAGAACTTGCGAATATCTTGTCAAGTGGAAGGGGTTCGTCGATCGTAAGTGCATACCACTGTCACAACTCAACTGGAGAGCCCTGTTATGCGATTTCAACCAGGGCGCCAGAGCCCGAGTACGTTTCAGGGCGATGCAGGTGGGTGATGACCATCCCCAGATTTAGTTGAGCTCATCCGTCGATCCTGGATGGCCAACTGACTCTGCCTCAGACTGATGATAATTTTGTGAGCTGTCTTCATTATGTGGATATTCTCGATTGTAGATTATTTTCGTGGATTACATATATATTTCTGGATGACTCTGCGCTGTTCTGAATTCTGGGTGGTGAGGATACTTTTCGTAATTTCGAAGTATGTTCTGGACCAATGTGGACGAAGACAACCAGAACGAAAAGCAAAATGACATATATTAGAATGGATTGGTTTAGACCCACGACAACTCAAGTTACTGTGACGAAATATGCAGGTGGGCACCTCAATCATACGTGCGCGAAGCTGTGTTGTCCTGGCGGGCCAACTGAGGAAGAAGGCTCACCGACACTGACTTGGGTATGTGATCCACGAGTTCTTCATCCGGAGTTGTAGTAGCCAATTGTACTCGCGCTGGCGCACGACGATTCAGGATCTCGGGCTGTTCAGTCAGGTAATATGGGCTACCACGATTGTTGAACAACCTTGGGTACATCAGTGCCCAGTATATGGCTTCGAAGGCAGGGTCCAATA